GTCAATACACATACACCAACCAGTGATTGTACACATAGGGACTAATTCATTTCCTTGGTTTCTTACTACCGTAAGTCTAGACTTTTTTTGGACGACCTATGAAAGGCTGACTCATTTACTATCAGATGTAGAATATATAATATCAACGTCTAATATTTTAAGTACTTCAGCCCAGAACACTTCTTTCAAATGTGGATTTAACCTTCTTTGCAGCTGTCGGGATAGTTTAGAGTATTCTTCCAAGTATATACAATGAGTACAGAGAAGAGGATTTATTCCCTTTATATCTACTACCGTCCAACCGATTGCACTTTGATGATTTTTTATAACTCTTATAAATTGCTTTTCTTGGACTTCTGACAATTTTGAAGATATTATCACTGGATGAGTTTCATTCTCCCCCAAGAAGACATATTTCAAGTCAAGTGAAGAGATTTCAACTCTGGTTTGGGGACTAACACACTAAACTCTACAACTTGGTTTCAGAAGGCAATAACTCTTCAAATTTTGGAATCCATGATTCAATAATTAACATATCTACAGACTCAACATTGTTTACAAACTCTAATGCAAGTGACTCTTTCTCTGTACAAGTACTTTCAAACAGATTTTGAGTTAAGGACTCAATGCAATTTACTTCATGCAATTCTTCTTCCTTTTTGGGTTGTTTAACAATAGCGAACACATTTAATTCTAATGTCATATTTTTAAATGAAAGTTTCATGATTTTATTCCTACAATTTATCGATGCATTTGATGTAGCTAGTTGTGCAGAGACATGCAAAACTGGTTGTGTATCCAAGACAATAAAATTCACCATAAAATAGAATTTATTAACTTAAACAAGTACATCCTCCACAACTTCCCTCAAAATTTTCACAAAACGGTCAGCCAATTGCAATGTAATATTTGTGAGTTTTAATTCACCCAATCCTAACTGATCATAAACAAAATATGGAAGCAAATTAACACTAACTCCAAGATCAAGCAGGACTTGCTCAATCCTGAAGTTCCCAATTATCCNTAAAATTGAGCCACCGCCTTACAATATGAATGAGATACTACACTACGTCTACTTACATTTTACTTGCATTGTTCTCGTCCTTTGTTCGACAGGGTTTCATACAACCACGGTGGTGGGATTTCCAAGCAAAAAAAAAAAAATCAAACATAGGCCCCACTATGTGAATGGTTTCATAATCTCAAAAACCAAGGTCACGTTGACAATTGACATTTTCTTTCCAAAACATAATGAAGATAGTTATTGGAATAAAGTGCAAGAAAATTGTGGTAGTTAAGGGGGTATGCGAGCAAATAAACAATAGAGCATGCAATTTACGAAAATANTCTGGGGTTATGATGAAGGAGGACCTGGTCGTTGACTCACATGCTGTGTGTTTTTCTAGCTAAAATTCAGGTAATTTTGCCACCCTGTATTATAGGTTTAAAAATAGGGATTGAAATAAAACTTGTTAAAATTTAAAATGGCATTTGTTTGTTCCATCAAGACCTCTTTGAATACTGGAATGGTGGAACATTCCCTAGTGGGATGTCCTGACAAAGCATAGATTCCACACGATTGATCAGTGAGTTATACAATAGAAACTTCCTTGACTTTTTTCATCTCTAGAGCTTCAAGGTTTCAAGACAAAGTAGTCATTCTGGCCCTTAGGCTATCATCCTCTTTTTACACATATTTCCCACATTGGGATGAAGATCGCTTTGTTTCAACAATATTTTGGGGAGGCCGAGTCCACATTTGGGAACTTTCATAAATGACATCAAAAAACTCGAATGCTTCATTGGGACTCTTACCCATTAATTCTATCTAGGTCATCATTTCAACAAACTAACGCATTGCGGACAGAGGGCATCATAAAAGAAACCAACTAAAGTCAAAATTTCAAATGCATGATGTGGAAAAACTTGGAAAAAATCCTAAAATCTCTCCCAACATTGATAAAAAGTTTTCCCTTATTTCATAGAAAAAATCATGATCTGACGTCTCAATGCATTAGTGCGATGCACAGGAAATTTTTTTTAAAAAATTTGATTTACAAAACTTGCCAACTTGAAATGGATTGAGCTTTTAAAGAATTTAACCACTGTTTAGCCTTATCTTTAAAAGAGAAAGGAAAAAGTTTCAACCAGGTCATTTTAGAATTATCTTGTAATGCACTACATAATTCGTCGAATTCTTTCATAAGCAAATAGGGGTTTTCAAACTCAAGACCATGAAGCTGCGGTGGAAGTTGTATTGTCCCTACTTTAATGTTAAAATTTGGAGCATTAATGGGAAAATCAAAACATGAAGGGACACTATTGCGTGTGGGATGCAAATATTCTCTTAAAGGGCTGACATTCTAAACTACTTCTTGTTCCTTTTGATTATTATTAGTCATGCTTAGCTCAAAAGAGTCCGATAATGCAATAATCAAATAACCCTAGTAAACCCGAAGGTAAACCATTCAAAAGGCTTACTATAGCTATTCAATCGGCAGGTTAATGATTCAATGAAGATGTAGTTCCAGTTTATGCATTGAATCAAAAGCATTGGCTATGGCGAGATTTAATCCGCCTATAACCAATCTCTCAATAGTTACATAAAACCCAACTACGTGAATCACCGTATCATACATGAAGTACATAATAATTATAGATAGAATAGTATATAGCATTAGGCTTTGCTCGGTATTCATAACCATGAGCATATTATAATAATAACCATCCATCAACTAAGGGAGGTGTAAACAATAAAGTATAAATAAAATTTTGGCATTTTCACAACTTAAACAGTATTACACATGCATTCACCCTTCACCGAAAAGTATAAACAGACTACTAACGGTTCATTGCGATAGACAAGCAAGAAGAATGCGATGATTTTATTACAATCGAAAACAAAATACACAAAGTCTTTCCTCAAGGAATAGCTGAAATACTGTCACTCTTATTACCAGCTATGACCCAAAAGTGGTAGAAGTTCAACTCTCCAAGTAAAAAGGATAAACAAAATGTAGAGGGAGAGAAAATTCTAATTCATAAGTTATTAGGGTAGGATTTTGCTCTTTCTGACTGAAACATTCTCTTAAATCTTTCTTTCCTTCCCTACTTTTTCTCTCTTCTCTTGCACTAGACTGAACTCTGGTGAATCTCTTCAAAATTAACTACGGCAAGCTATTTATAGGCACTAGAATGGGGAGGTAGAGGTAGCAGACACCCAAACTGCCCATTCACATCAAGTTGTTGCTCAAATGAACCAATGAGAGTAAAGGGAGGAGAAAGACGATTTAGCGACCGTCTGGACGCTATCACCACCGTCTACACAGTGCTAATCCTCTAGTTTTCCATGCTTTGGCAGCCTCCTTGACTCTTTGACTTCTTAATTACTCTTGCCTCCCCTTCTTCATTCTGTCTCTCCAATTTTTATCCTCTTAAATTTTTATATTTATGTTTGAAACCTTGTAAAATATACAAACTACACATTAACCCTAATAATTTATAAATTAATCAATTTAACCTAATTTATGCACACAATTAACCCTAAACCCTAATTCATTTAGGCACTATTTAGGGTTAATCAGGCTTTGCTAGCACTTGTTGGGAATTATCTCGGCAACAATTTGGTCAAAACAACTACAAAAAAAATCAAAGCAAAACTTACAATACCAAGTTTAATTGATTTTGGCAAAATCACTTTGCCTACATCCACAAGGCATGATTCGGTATCTTTTCTTTGCTATTGAGAAAAAAATTGAGTACAATGGTATAAACCTCACCACTTAGGTTTAAACTTCAAACTCAAGCCCTTAACCCCTTGTAAAACCAACTCAATCTTACTCTCTCAAATCCCAGTAAAAAAATCTCTCATATTCTCAACAAGAGAATTAGTAAATAAAACCTCTCGTACTCTTAACAAGAGAATGAAAATTGAACAAATATAATTTTCGGAATAATCTCAAAAACAAGAGAAACATGCCTATTTATAGACATGTAAAGGTGATGAAAGATGAACTCATTTGCATTTGAGCAATGCATTTGATTGCTCCACTTATATGCTCCAAAGAAACCCTCACCTTATTCAAGTAATGAAATTGTAGCACTTATATCCTCCAATAAACTTTTAGCAATGATATCATTTAACCAATTAATTTTATTTTTTTTTAATTTCTTTCTAAAATTGAGCCACCGCCTTACAATATGAATGAGATACTACACTACGTCTACTAACATTTTACTTGCATTGTTCTCGTCCTTTGTTCGACAGGGTTTCATACAACCACGGTGGTGGGATTTCCGAGCAAAAAAAAAAAAAATCAAACATAGGCCCCACTATGTGAATGGTTTCATAATCTCAAAAACCAAGGTCATGTTGACAATTGACATTTCCTTTCCAAAACATAATGAAGATAGTTATTGGAATAAAGTGCAACGAAATTGTGGTAGTTAAGGGGGTATGCGGGCAAATAAACAATAGAGCATTCAATTTACGAAAAAAAGTCAGTAAGTTAGGGCTGCTCGGGAGCAAGCGAAAGTTAGTAAATATCCAATAAAAGAGCTGAATATTTATTATTCAAAAATATTGGCATCCCAAAGCGTCATTCCAGCAATAGCTCAACCACGAAAAAAGAATTCTTGAATCCTACCCAACTCTACCCGTACGGCATGGCAATCATCACAAATGAATCCCACAAAAAATGGGCAAAGAAGAGAAACCAACATATTTTAAGCTGCTAGCCGGATTTTTTTATTTTTTTTTTGTTCTAGAGTTTTCTTTTTAATCCAACAGGACCATCAATTTACTTTAAGCAACTGGTCTATCTTCTTTTTCTTTTTTTTTTTTGGTTTTCTTGGAACTGTTTGGTTCTATCATTTTTTTTTTTTGCTTGTAGTTGAATGAGTAGTATATCTATTCTGTTGTTCCAGCTGTTCAAGCTTCCTCGGCTACGACCTGCATTTACGGTCATCACGGGATCTTTGGATGTTTCAGTTTCCTTGGATCAACATCTTTGAATCCAGTTCATCCAACTTCCACGTCTTCGAATATTCAGTCCCTATCAAATATGCAATTAGTAAACATGCATCCATTAAATGCACAATATGAACTTACTTAAGGGAGTGAAGATTGTGGTTGGTTAGAATCCAGTTAAAGTTCCTTATTTCTCATGCAAAGAGTATAAATGCAAAATTGCATGTTGATTGTTGATTGTTAGTTCAAAGGTAAGCCAACCAATTGTGAGCAAAAATGGTATTTACCTGTACTTCCACCGTGTGCGAGGGTTGCAAAGCTCTCAGTATCAACTGAATATCATCAGTCAACTTTTTAATCTGTTCATGGAAACCAAAAGTATGAAACATAGGACACAGTAGCTGATGGAGGTGTAAAATGTCAATAAATAAATGGAACAAAAAGAAAACAAGAAACAAAAATCCTAACCACATACCAATAGTTCAAAACACGGGACGTGGTTTGGGCTCGTACTAAACTTATTTTAGTGCGTATGTTTAAATGGGTAAGAACTTCAAGCACAACAGCAAGGTTGGAACGTTCGGTTGTCAAAGATGCCACCCGACCCACGAGGGTTGGTGGCTACAATTTCGAAAAAGTTGAATTTAAACAGAATTCAAGATTAAAGTAATTAGATAGTAGGAGATCGGGATTTCAAAATACTAAAAGTACAATGAAGATAATTTTAGCGAAAAATGATCGATAGCAGAANGTCAAAGATGCCACCCGACCCACGAGGGTTGGTGGCTACAATTTCGAAAAAGTTGACTTTAAACAGAATTCAAGATTAAAGTAATTAGATAGTAGGAGATCGGGATTTCAAATTACTAAAAGTACAATGAAGATAATTTTAGCGAAAAATGATCGATAGCAGAAGAGCATATACATGTAAGAACTACCACAAGGAGTCAAGAAAAATTGATCCATTTAATGAATTAAAGATTTGTATGCCACAACTATTTGGGGTGACTGTTTCTCATCAAATTCTAAACATTCTTTGTCTTTCTCCAGAGCATCCACGAAAAACGAGTGGACAATTCCGTGGTTCCACCATCAACATCCGTGAGAACAATACCAATGCTATAATCATCATAATCAAGCACAATACTTGGCATGAGAAAACTATTTTATTATTATAACCGATTGATGATTTTCCCAATTAAGTTGAACAGTTAATGTAAGATGAAGATTTTTAAGCTGAGAAGCAAGCCTAAAAGGGCTTAAAATTGCAAAAACATTCTGCAATCCCCTTCTCTAAGTATATACTGACAACAAAGGAACAAAAAAAAAATTCCAAATCAAGTCTAAACAATGTGACAGAGGTAAAGAAGAGAAAACCTCTCTTCTGCTTGAATTATATTAATAAGTAATGTCATTTCACATTAAAGAAGAATAAGAACAATAGGTATTCTAGCAATTGTTGACATTAATAATTGATTCAATCTTCTATATTTTATATCGAACACCTATCAATCTCATAATTAATTAGCTCATTAAAGTTTTCCAGTTGTATTAATCTCAAGGAATGCCTTGTCTACCCATTGAAGTCACATGGTACATTTTAAGTACTTTAACCATGAGGAAACAAACAAAAGAACAAGAATACTACTGAAATCGAAAGAACTTACCCTGGGAAACCTAGCAATAAGATCGACTTTAACCCATCCTTGCTGGTCCATACGATCCTTCAAGTAAAAATCTGACACCAAATTCTTATCACTGCACGATCAAACACCATACATGTCATCTAAAATCATATAGATCCTATTTGAACACTTGCAAGGTAAATATTGTTACTCATTTGATCACCAGAAATAATACTCAATTTGCTCTCGAATCCTGCTGCACAATTCCACTTCCTTTTTCTTCTGTAGTTGTGCAAACATTTGCTGATGATGAGGACAAAAAGTTGTCGTTGTCATTGCTTGATCATAGGACATTATGGTTGCCAATGAAGAAAAAGGAAAAAATAAGTAACTGTATTGCTGTGAGTAAATAATAATAGCACACATTCAGCACAACTAATTTTACCTGGAAAGACACCACTATTATGGGGATGATGTAGAAAATCATAACCCCGAAATGGAGGTTGTAATGGATGCGTATATGGAGCTATGGTCATTGGATGGGGACATACATGAGGCAGAGGAAGGGGTGGGACAAATCTTGCAGAATTTTTAGCAAGATTGTTCACATGGGGATCACAATGATTCATCCTCCATGGGTTAAATCTGCAATTGGAATTTACTTCATGAAAGTCACGGAATAGGTTCTGTCTGTATGGGAAATTGGGGTGGTTTTCGACTTTTTCATTATGTTCATCAGCTTTATGATGATGGTGATTGCTGAGATGGTTGTGATTATGGCTATTTTTGCTTCTTGAGGGCTGATTTGAAGCAGCTACTGAATTAACCTCCAGTAGGGATGATGATGCTACAACAATATTGTTGCATGAATTTGATGATACTACAACTGAAGTAGGATCCTGCCAAATGCTCGTATGTGAAAAGCTGTTGAATAAAGCAGTTGTGGGTGAAACACTACTAGTTGTGATATTTTCAGTTTCTGCAACAGGCAAAGACAAGCTATCACTGGCAGAGAGGCACCCAGCTCCAGTGGTACCACTTTTTTCAACCTGCAGTTCTTGTGATTCAGATGCTATTTTCACCAGAATTGAAGGCAATGGACCCTGTCCCAGTAAACATATAAAACTAAAGCCATCAAGGAACACGCAAAAAGAGAGAACCAAAACAGGACTAAATGAATTAAACATTAATTAGGACCACAAAAAGCTATTGTTAATCCAGGTATAACTAATTTTGATTTTGACAAACTTCCAAAGGATGTATATTTGAACGTAGAAATATGTGATTATTATCTAATGAGCTATTCTAAAAAACGAGAGAAGGAAAGCAAATGTTATTCATTGCGGTACGCCGCTTTCTAGGTTCCCTTTTGACCGAAGTCTTTTGACTAATGAAAGATAGCAAGCTCTGAACCAAAGCGAATTCTTTTCTCTATTGTACCCTCATCGACATCTCCTTGCGCTGATTCATTTGCAGTTGGGTCGTGAACGAGAGCTGAAACACGTTCAAGCTCAAAGCTACTGGAACTTATAAAAGTGGAGAAGAGACTTTTAATATTACATAGGCTTTGACTTCCGGAACCGTTGATTTTATTAAGGGATAAAAAGGCGAAGCAAGAAGCGTAAATTTGCAATATAAGTTACAAAAAACTGGACAAACAAGATATAAAAGAAAAAAAAGGAACCTGGAGGATGAAGGTAGGTTTGGAGAGGTCGGAGCCGAGAGCATCAATGATGTCCTCCTCGTGATCGTCGGATAATTTTAGTAAACTCTTCAACTGGGAGGTTCTCAACTCGTAGCTCTTTGTTTGATCAGACCCAAACGTATTTTTCAGCCCATTCACCATCGCACTAGCTGCCTCAACTTCGATCCCCTCCTTCTGATTCTTTAGCTCCATTGTCATCCCGAGAGCAAAGTAGACAGTGTTTTTTGGGTCTAAGAATATGATTCTTTGAGATGTTATGGTCACACCTGCAAAGTGTTGGTGATTAGACCAAATATATCTCTTCTTATTATTGCAGTGGTTTTAAAATTTCTAGTCATAATTGACTTCGTATTTAGTTTATTAAGAAAACTCCTAGTCTAAATGGGTTTTAACTTAGATGATGCAAATAGAATTAGTAGTAGGAGAAGGCGCTCTAATATCGGTAGACATAGGAGAAGTGCTCCATGTATAAAACCTTCCCGCTTAGGTAACTTGCCAGTCAATCATCCATCTTGACTTGGAAAACATCTTGGAGTCAACCTCTATCGCAAAATTATAAACATGTCAAGCTAAAGAAAAAAAATATATTATATTTTGGGAGGCAAAATAAAATCTCTTTTCATCAAATTTGCAATAGATATTAATAATAGGGGCCATATCAAAATAATTACATAGTTAAAGGTATAAAGTGAAAAACATAATAGGATAAGACAATGTAAAAAAGGTGTCAAAATGCAATTTCCTCTAAATATAAAATATATTATGCATGTTATCCGGCTATTCAAATATTATTAGAACTTTNAACTCTTCAACTGGGAGGTTCTCAACTCGTAGCTCTTTGTTTGATCAGACCCAAACTTATTTTTCAGCCCATTCACCATCGCACTAGCTGCCTCAACTTCGATCCCCTCCTTCTTCTGATTCTTTAGCTCCATTGTCATCCCGAGAGCAAAGTAGACAGTGTTTTTTGGGTCTAAGAATATGATTCTTTGAGATGTTATGGTCACACCTGCAAAGTGTTGGTGATTAGACCAAATATATCTCTTCTTATTATTGCAGTGGTTTTAAAATTTCTAGTCATAATTGACTTCGTATTTAGTTTATTAAGAAAACTCCTAGTCTAAATGGGTTTTAACTTAGATGATGCAAATAGAATTAGTAGTAGGAGAAGGCGCTCTAATATCGGTAGACATAGGAGAAGTGCTCCATGTATAAAACCTTCCCGCTTAGGTAACTTGCCAGTCAATCATCCATCTTGACTTGGAAAACATCTTGGAGTCAGTCAACCTCTATCGCAAAATTATAAACATGTCAAGCTAAAGAAAAAAATATATTATATTTTGGGAGGCAAAATAAAATCTCTTTTCATCAAATTTGCAATAGATATTAATAATTGGGGCCATATCAAAATAATTACATAGTTAAAGGTATAAAGTGAAAAACATAATAGGATAAGACGGGGTCAAAATGCAATTTCCTCTAAATATAAAATATATTATGCATGTTATCCGGCTATTCAAATATTATTAGAACTCTGGGTATTCTACCACATCTTTAATACATATATTAATAGTATACTAGGATGCTACCACTACTTTTCCTACGCGACATGGAATTCTTATTGGTGAAGAGTACCTAATTGTGTAGTCAACGTAGCAAGGTGATCAAGTACTTGTCGTGTCACATGCGACTGGGATGAGTTTTATACGCAAACAGTGACTTTAGAATTGAAGGATTAATAAGGATGAGATTGGGAGTTTGAAGTTCAAGAATTTATTTTTGTTTAATACTACATAGAATTTATATAATGACTTTATTTATTGATCTTATTATTTTTTGGCATCAGATTGACAGTGGACCTTAGTATTAGTTGAGATCTACTATTAATTCAAGGAAAATGTTATTTTGACTTAAAAATCTGACATAATTTGTTAACCTAATGACGTAGCTTCATTAAAACTATTGGATAAACACCAAGTTTAAATGTATGATTGAACCCACAATTAATCCAAAAGTCATAGTGAATTAGGTCAGTAAATTAGGTCTCAATAACATTGCTCTTAATTCAATGATTATGATGTATCATGTCACCAAATAAAATCACTAAATTAAGTAAACAAAATATTTTCCTTTATCTTTTAAATAAATAACATGGAAATTAATTTGACATTTGGACGTGGATAGGGTCTCATGTGCAGTTATTCCCCCTTTTTTATGGGCTTCATAAAAAGAAAGAAACTGGTATATCCTAAATTAACACTTGGGAGGAAATTGGGTGTGAGCTTATAGTGGTGATGGGCTCATATGTGTGTGTGTGTACGACTTAGATTGTTGGTAAAGTGGAAACTGAGTGCTTGGTTTTTCTAGAAAAACAAACAAAGTGCACCTCCTTTCTGTAAAATGAACTAGCTGCCATGAACTAGAGGTTGACTGCTTATGTTAGGATGAAAGTAAGGAAATAGAATTGTAGGGAAAGAAGTGCCGAGTTAGATTTAAGCTTTACCTAGTATTTTTAGTGATCTTGTACCTTTTTTCTAGGGTTGTCCTCATTGGCTGTACAAGATAGCATACCTATTTTTTAGGAAAATCTTTCCTAATTATTGTAGGAATCTTTTCAGACTTTCTTTCTTATGGAGTAACTATTTAGGTCACATTTATAATGTTCACCAACAATATAGATAACTCCTCCCTTGTTAGTTTTTCCTTATCACTTACTCTAGATAACCTAAATATCTCTTGGTTCGATCTTATCTCTAGTGTAAACACCAACTTTTTTCTCTTTCTCAGTGTCGTCAACTACTCGGTTCCTTTATTGGCCTAGCAGCTTTGTCATTTGCTCGACTAGGTCTAGAGCGTGTTCAGTTGAATGAACTGGAGCTCGAGTAGAGGTACTCTAACTTTTTCTAATGACACTCTTTTATCAGGATCATGTTTGTAATTGACCAATTTCATGAATTCTTTTTAAAAATGTTAACATATTTCATAGNTGAACTGGAGCTCGAGTAGAGGTACTCTAACTTTTTCTAATGACACTCTTTTATCAAGATCATGTTTGTAATTGACCAATTTCATGAATTCTTTTTAAAAATGTTAACATATTTCATAGTCCTGATACTACAACATTGAAGATCTGAAAGTGTCAAAATAAAGGAGAAGATTGTGCTTCAAGTTACATCGAAAGAGATTCTTCGTATACATCTCCTTGTTTAGGACAAAGGTAAATGACACCATTGGTTTAATTTATTAAACTTAAGTTGATTAGGTAAAATAGAATTGGTAATTATTCCGTTAGGTTAATGACTCCATAGTGTTTTTCTAGAAAATTTTTTCTAAACCTTAAATGTCACTCTGCATGATCTTAATCTGAACCAACTTGATGAGGTCAAAAGGCTCTAGCGGAGGCCCCCCTTTTTTGGTTCAGAGGTGGATTGCTCTAGAGCGACTACCTCGATTGAGTATGTTGTAGACCTGGATTGTCTGCTAAGCAACCATGGAAGAGGCTGAATGAAGCATAGGGTACATGGTCAAGGCTGCCTTCCATTGTATTGTAGAGGAATTGCTTGGTTTTTCAGTTGTTTTTTACTATGGAAACTTTGAAACTTTTGAAAAAAGATTTCTAAGTGTTTTTCTCTCTCCCATGCAAATTGCTACTCATATGAACTCCTTAGTTATGTTGGCTAAGACACTGGAGAAACAGCACAACAGTAGAACAGCTGAGGCCAAAGCGGCAGATGAGCTTGTTAAGAGGCTGAGCAGCCAACTCACTATGGCGAGTCGTGTAACTAATGAGGTCAAGGATGCAAAGGCTAACGCTAAGGAGCAAGCAACTCGCTTGACAGAGTGTCTGAGAAAGGCCACCCAGAAGTGTTTCTAACCTGGAAGCTCGTCTTCATTCTAGTACTGATCAAGCTGTGAAGGAGTTTTAGGTGTCCGACAAGCTCAAGGAGGCTATCTTAGAGGGCTATCTAATGAGTATGATGCTTTGCTAATTCAAGGAAAAGAGACGTACCCCAAGGAGAAACATCCTAAAATGGATTTCGATTCTTTCGAGCCATCAGGCCACCATCCTCATCTGATAAAAAGGAAAAGAAGGCTAATGCTTGCTTCTCAGAGTGGGGTAAAAACATCACAGAATTCCCAAGTGTAGGAAAGTTATCGTGTTTGTAACTCGGTCGATTACTAAGATCATCTCCTTAGAAAAAACGATTAGCTCAAGGGGTGTTAAACAAAAGAAAATAAAAACTCTAAATTTTGAGAGATTAGGTTGAAGAATTTAGCAACTAAGAAATAACAATTAAAAGCAAGACCGGTTAATCGGTAGAGTTCATTTCACCATTAACAGGCATTTTGACCCAATTTCTATAACTCATTTGAGATTGTACTCAAACGCATTCAAATGGAAGATATTTGATTAAAACCCAAATGTAAATAACAAATGTGTATTCAAGTCAATTGAATTGATTTTGAAAGAATTATAGTCACTTTGATTGCAATGATTTCAAGAATTACCCATTCCTGACTTAAATGTCTACGAGTACGCAAAAAGATATACATATCAAAAGTGTTTTCAACTTTAATTATTCAAATAACCCAAAATACTTAATCATTGAAAAAATCCTAATTGAGTGACTATCCCCAATTTATGGACGAGATTCCCTCATCCGATCAAACCGGAGTATGACTACTCACCTATTATATAATTGAAAACGAAAGCAATTAAAGAAGACATAATTGTAATTGAAACCAAATAAACTTGAATTGAAATTGCAAGAATTGAATTTTACATGCAAATGTAAATTCCTTGAATTGAATTACAAGAATGTAAATCATTCACAAAGTAAAACTTGAGAGTAATAGCGTTGCAAGAAATAAACAACTTGGAAATTAACAAAACTGGTAATTACAACAACGGAGAAGAACTCGTTCTTTTTTTTATTGGAGAAGAACTCTTTAAAGAAAAGAAAACTATTTCTAAATCCTAGGAGAGAAGAAAGGGAGAATGGTGAATTGAATGATGGAATTGGAGACATCTAATATTGATGTCTTCTCTTGCTAGACTTGGGTATTTATAGGAGAGCATGTGCTAATTTTTCTCCTTTTAATCCTCCATTCACGACCTTTAAAATAACTTAGCAAATTGCCTTTCCAAAACTATCCTTATAGCACAATTACAGTAACCTATTGGTAGGAAGCACAAAATTACCTACCGATAGAACTGTTCACTATTTTGCACGAACTAGTTGATTTTTTCTTCTACTGGTAGAACACATTTTTGTTTCAAACCTGCCGGTAGAACAACTCTTTGTTTTACTTCTACCTGTAGGATTGAACTTCTACTGGTAGAATCAATTTCTGCATCTAGTTGAACTGGTAGAAGACCTACCAGTAGAACATATTTTTTCTTCAATTATGCTTGTACTACTCTTGGCTTGGCTCTTGGACCTCCTAAATCATCCTCCATAGCATTGAACCATGTGCAAAGCCTCGTTTTTACATTAATTCACCTACAAACACCAATTTCCTCCATAAAATATAAAACTAAACTAAAACAAAGGAATTAAGTAACTAACATAACTAAGATGAATGATATGGAAGACTTTGCTAGTCCCTTAGCAAACTGAAAATAAACAAACACTCCAATCAATAACCACTTAGTCTAGGCATGATAAATGAAAATCCATAACTTCATTAACAACTAAACATAACCTTATACATACATAATCCATAAATACAACGTCATTGTCATACACTTACATACATACCCATCCAAATCTTGAATAAACATTTAAACTTGATATTCGACAACTATGTAACACCCCATTCCAACTCTTGTACTAAAAATATAATTTAGGCATAACATACTTAAACTTGTAATCTTGTTGTTAATATCTTTCTTTAGCAAAAATACCTATCCTAAAAATATATAACATAGACCACTTTTAAATAAAAAGTCAGATGCATGCAAATACACTGGCTCGTTGCCATACAATATATGCATAACCCAAAAATATTTTTAAAGTGTCATTTGCATGGCAAAGAGGAGAACAAAAATATTTACATTATATACAACCCAAGCAGTAAAAGAACAAAAAACAAAAATTGGCATGAGCCCCTTTCTGACAACTCTTGACTGGACTTCTAGTTTCAGTAGTGGATTGCAGGCTTGTGTTCAGATTACCTGAAAAGATTTCAAGGAAATTTTTTAGTGAGTACTCAATAGAAATTCCATAATTTTATCTCGATATCCTATTTCATTGCTCTATGGCCTCACACAGAGATAATCGTTTTGCTACCCCAGACAAAAAAACACCACAAGATGACTCATAGCACAACATTAACTTTAGTTCTCGTCACTTAGACAAATTCTGCACATAGCTTATCCAATCACAAAGACCACAAAAAACATATGATCTATTTTTAGTCACGTAGACAATCCATCCCAACAGCTAACATTCATCTCTTAGACATCTTAACTGCACAGACAACTTACATCACGTAGACATCCTTCGTTTAGATGTTTCAAACCACTTAGTTTTTCTTTCTACACATCCCACAAACAACTCGAACCGTAATATTAGGTTCTACCATGTAGACATCTTGTTTCCATCACAATACTGCAACACTCAATTCATTGAATTACAACAAAACTCATAAGACAAGCAATCAAACAAATACTTAATTATTTTCACATAAATAAAACGAAGGTTAGCGCACCTACCTCGCAGAAAATTCTATCTTGTTGATAACAACTCTGTCGGAGCTTTTTGGGTAGTGTTCTTTGTAGTGCTCATCCCTGAACCTGACACCCAATATTCACAATCTCATTCGAGTATTAATAAATAATATTGTTTTTACTCAAATTGGTTTATTCGAACCAAATCCAATAATTTAATTGCATCACAATCAATAATTCACCTACACCTAATAATGTTCATTACTCATATCGATTTAACGAGTAGTTTAATAATCAATTTGAGTAACATGAAATAATTTATTCGCAGTCAAGCGTTGACATTCGTTGGTTGAAGATGAACTATGATGTTCATTGCATGATGAAGAACCTTGGCTGGGTTGACCAAATTGCCTATTTTATGTGCACTTAGATATTTCTTTTGAGTAGGATGTACACAGTTATGACAAACGTTGGTTTATGTAGGTTTGGTTGTGTGTTTTAACATTATAACAACATTATATAAAAATTTGACATGACATCAAACTGCATGTTACTGAAATGACTTGGCACTAATCAAACAATGACATCACATCACACTGATAAAACAATGACATGACTTCACACTGATAAAGTAATGACATAACAATACACTAGAAAATGACTAATAGGACTGACATGACTTGACACTGAAAGACTGATTACACTGGTTATAGGTTTTCCTTGTGACTACACACTGTTATAGTGTCATTCGTAAGTGTATTTTCAATTCAGCATTAATTTAATTGAATCAGTTCAGAGTCACATAAATTCAGCACTAATGCAACAACATGGTTTGCTAAAAAGCATGTACAATCAATATAGAAAAAGTGATGAGGTAAATCATACAAGTGGGCAAGTATGTGATGAAGTGACTCAGTTAATGATAGCAATTTTTAGTGATTTAGTGGGTTGTCATTTCATCACGTGGTTTGCTGAAAATTCATGCAAGTGCAACAGTGGTTTGTGTTTTCATTAAATCTTTAAGACTATATTCAATACGTGTAATCAAATCATGCAACATAATTCATCTCCAAACATGAGTTATAGTATGAGAATGTTATTTCAAAGTATGGACCAGCATTGTTTGTTAGAGGATGAGTTCTTTTATTCATTGAATCCCTGTTTACGTTATTCAAGCAGGGCCATAAGCACCGTGAGGGTGGAATGGCAATATTGTTTGAGGGAAAGGGAAAATATAAGCAAAGATTTGCGAACTTTCAACATACGAAGGCCCCAAAAACTTGCCATTAATAAGCTAGTTGACACTCCTCAACAATTGGAGTGAGCACTATTTCGTATTCAATCTAAAAACAATCGCATGATAATTCATTATAGTTGGTACAATCTCTGTCGCATGGCACGAGACTGCGATGAAGAAAAGTTGATAGAAGAAGCACGTTTATGCTTGTGCTTGAGTGGGGAAGCTTGATGTATTTCTAATGTGAAGATGTCTGGCGAAGATGAAAACCCATGAACCATGGTTATGTGTTATGCTATTATTGTGTTTGTAATATCTGGACAATATTGTCATTGTTCAATTTCCATTACGTTGGTTTCTTCTGTTTCTATTAAATGTGTCGTGGAAACGTTAAAGTTGTTTGTTTGAATTAAATAGAGTGTATTCAAGTTAGGTTAAATTTTTCTGAGAATAATATTGGAGATCTGCACCATGCTAGATGTCCTCCAAACGATGCTCTACCTACAAGGCCAACACTGAATGGTCATCTGGTTCGGGATGTAACAAATGTCTGTCATCAGTGTCCATACACACAACAAAAATCTGCAAAATAAATCAAGATCCTATCAATAAACAATTTAAGATGACAATATAGTACATTAATATGTCATTAATGTATTATTATATGGATGTTGAATCAATGATGCATACCAAAACAAGCAAAATAAACAATAATACGGCACAACACAGTTATATAACAAATAAAATTACAAATTGGTTGAAACGTTACGTAGAAGGTTTTACAACATAAAACATCTTTAATAATATTCACTTCAAATTTTAATACAACATATTAGAAATTTTAATAAAAATACATCTTTGTAAATGGCTAGTGAAGGGATGATGAAGCTCGAGTGTTGGTGGATGGACACTTCCGACGATTGTGACCCGCTTCACTGCACAAGCCGCAATGTACGTGACTATGACCTTGAATCGGGAAGTCCATCTCATTGCATATGTGCAGTGTCTCAGGACGACTAATCAAGTTGCACCGCTGGTTGCGATTAGGGACTAACTTGGGACCTTCAGTAGCATCCCAATAATCTTCATGCTCAAAAAGAAACATTTCAAGCTCCCATGTGTTCTATAAAGTGTGATTTATGGACATCATCTAGTCACCCAAAGCAATCCCCACCTCACCCATTTCAAAACTCTAACTCATTGGGGT